AATAAAAACTAAGAAGTATAATTAAGTTAATATATTATATCTATAGCCTCTATTAGGAGGATAGACTCCTTTATACTAAATACTAATATTAGTAGGTATATTCTTAATAATCTCTCTATTTTTAAGGAACTTTAAGATCTCTCTTAAAGATTAATTATAAACTATATAAGTAGAAAGGACTAAATTAACTAAGTTATTAATATAATTAAAGTAATTACTATTAAACTAAGTAGTAAAAAAACTACTTTCTAACTATATAGTACCTTCTATAAACCTTATAATATAATATAAATTATTAGTATTAATCTTTTTTAGAAAATAAATATCTATTTTAATAGTCTAAATAATACTTTAATTTATAAAGATATATCTAAAGCTATTATTAACTTTAAATAGAATATATAAATCTCTTAGTTTTAGATCTATTTCTCTAATTAGGGTAATAAATTTAGCTCTTTTAAGCTAAATTATTAAACTTTTTATACTTATCTAAGGTATCTATCTAGAGAAGTAATTATTACTACTATAAGAGATACTAATATAAACTTCTTTAGAGTACCTCTTATAAGATATAAATATTATATCTACTTTATAGTAAAATTAATATAATAATTTAGTAATAAATAATAAAAATAACTAACTTAAGCTTTTTAGAAGTTCTAAATTAACTTCTTAAAACTAATATTATAAAACTTTAGAGGTATTACTTATAATCTTTATATTATAAAAACTTTCTTAATTTATAAATAGTTCTAAATATTTAAATTAAAGAAAGATATAGCTATTTAGCTATAATACTAATTTCTAAAAAAGATTATAGTAATAAATAATATTATTTATTTCTCTAAAGTTATTATAGATAATAATATAATTCTTCTTAAAGTAATAAAACTTTTTATTTAAGAATAAAACTTCTATCTAAAAATAATAACTTTAAACTATTATTAGTAGAATAAAAGGGTAGAAGGTTTTAATAAAGCTATATAGTAAAAAGTATAAATAATATATATAAAAGCTAGCTTTTCTAAATCCTTTTAGCCTTAATTAATAAAAACTTCTACTAAAGTTAGTAATCTACTATCTAATAGTAAAAGTAATATTAATCCTTATAAGAAACTAATAAATACCTTTAATATATCTCCTATTATAAGAAAACTATATATATACTATTTCTACTACTAAAGTTACTAAACCTATATCTATATTTACCTAAATAGCTATCTATATATAAAAAAGTAGAAAATAAAACTTAAAACTAAACTTAGAAGATTTATAAGATATAATAGCTTTTATAATAATATCTTTAATATTTTTATTAAGAAGACTAATAATATTTAGTAGGTAAGGGATATAATATTTAAAGAAAATAAAAGAGAACTCCCCTTAGTTAAATTTAATAACTTATAACTAAGAGAAGAAGTTAAGCTAGAAACTTATAAATATAATAATAAACTACTAATTATAACTTATAAAACTAAGTTTTAACTTTATAATTTAAATATAAAGTTATATTATTATATTTATTCTACTAAATAAAAATAACTATAAGAAGAAGTAGATAATTTATACTTAAAAGAAGCTTAAAAATTAGAAAGTAATAATAAATAAGAATAAAAAGATAAACTTCTTTAAGAATAAGAAGAAGTTAGTAAAAAGGGGGATAATTTACTAACTTTAGATCTAAAACTATATATATTAATACTAAATACTAATATTATAAATATATAAGTATAATTAATACTAAAAGAAATTTCTCTTTTATAATAAAATAATTAATATATTCCTCTAAAGTAATATTCTCTTATTACTCCTCTAAAGTAGAGATCTCTTATTATTCTTTAGTAATAATAACTACTAGAGAATACTTTATAATAATAAAGCTCTCTTAGTATTTTACCCTAAACTCCTTATTTAATATAAAGAAAATAGAGGGGAAAACTAAAAAGTAGTAATAAGAACTCTATCCTTATAAGATTACTAAGAATAATTACTTCTTCTTCTATTTAAATAACCTAAATATTTAGAACCTAAGTATTATATAATATAAAGAAGTTTAATAGGAAATTTAATAAGATAGAGGTTATAAAGATTAACTTAATTAATAATAAAATAGATTAAGAACTAATTACTTTTATTTTCTTAATATCTAACCTATTATAAACTTTTAATTTAGAGATTTATTTATTTATAACCTTTAAGAAATAAGAGATAATAGAAAAAAGATTTCTAAAATTAGTTATCTTTAATACTATAAAGACTTAAATTAAAAGTTTATAAGAGATAGAATATTAGTAATTTAAAAAGCTTCTAAATAGCTTTAAATATCTCTTAAGTAAATAGGTATATAATAAAAAAGTTACTATAAATAGAAGACTTAATAGAGTTAGAGTAAAATAAGTTATTTATAATAACTTTTAAAATAAAGATAGTAAAATAGTTTATACTATTATTATTAATCTTATTACTTTATAAGTTTTTTTACTAATTATAGTACTTAAAGATCTAAAACTTCACTAAGTTAATATAGTTATAGCTTTTCTAAATACTTTTATAGGAGATTATAATATCTTTATTACTTAACCTTATAAGTTTAATAATAAATCTAATTAGTTCTATAAATTAAAAAGAGCTCTCTATAAACTAAAAAAATCCCCTCTTCTCTAGTATAAATAAATTATTACTATTTTTAAATAATTAAGGTTTAATCTACTCCTAAAAGAACTTTATATTCTTATTAATAAAGATAGTATTATAATATTACTTTATATTAATAATATATTTATTACTATACTTAATATTAAGTATATTAATAACTTTAAAAATAATTTATATAACTTCTTCTAAATTAAAGATTTAAGTAAGGTATAATAATTTCTTAGGTTTAAGATTATTTACTACTAAAAGATAAGATAACTTTAGATTTTATAAACTAAATATATTAATAATATACTAATAGAGAAGGGTATTACTAAATATAATTAAATTCCCTACCCTCTTAGTAATACTTAGTTACTAGAGATTATAGAATAATATAAAACGCCTATTAAAATATATAAATATTAAAATAATCTAAGTAAGTTATAATAGATTATAAATAGTATATAACTAGATATTATAATACCTATAAGTAGAGCTACTAGAGATTAATAATATACCT